TGTGTGATGAAAAGTAAGACATGAAATATTATACTTCGAATTTTACAAATAATTTCACTGAAGAAGAAACACATAAAAACACTTGTGAATTTTACATTTTTCATGCACGCTTTAGAAACTATAAAGTAATCAATCATAAAGAACAGGAAAGAATAAAGGCACAAACAAAAATCATTAGCGACGCACACCAGGCGAGCCCGTACGAACATGCGTTTTCGCAGTATTTCGTGCTGTAGTGAGATCGCTCGGAAACCCACTAGCTAGAAATTGTGACATACTGGTCCTTGAAGTTTTTGGGAAGTTAATTTTGCAACTACGCGGTACTCGGGCAGGGAATATATAGTTAAAATTTCAGCTTTCCAACTTTTTTGGCTTCCGAGTTAGCGATTTTTACGTCAAATACTTCTACGAGGCCTTACCTAAGAACCACCATACCCAGAGGGAAATTTGAAATTTTTGAGTTTTACGTGGACAGGGAACATCCTTTCAAAATTTCAGCCTCCCAATTTTTCTGGTTCTCAAGCTAGCGGTTTTTCCGCCAAAACTTTCACGTGGTCGTACGCGAGGCCCAGACTTGCACGAGGGATGGTATCGTGGTCCTGCGGTGGTACTTGGCTGGGGAACCCGCTGGCAAAATTTTGGCCCGGAGCTTGCGTGGTTGCCAAGCTGAACTACCCGAAGAGACGCAAACACACATACACACACACACACACACACACACACACACAAACAGATAGACAGACGCAAACTGGGGTCGCTACAATGTGTGTTCTTGCATATATGCAAAAACGCATAATCAAGGACAGATTCAAAAATATTACGAATACAAGCTGGATGTAAAAATACTGTAAATAGATTTATAGCATGGATATCAAGACCACCCGGACACAAACGTGTAGGAATTCCGCGTAAGTGGTTGCTGTTACTGAGGCAATTCTTAGTTACTATAAACCCAGTAATGCAAAGTTTGGCCTGGTTATGTCGGTTTGTAACAACTAAATAAGAGAAAACAAAACGGAGACATTAAAGCCAAAAAATTGGCCAACGCACGGGCTGCCATGCGAAGATGCGTTTTTTGCACGTTTCCCGCAGTTTTTTCCGCTATCGGCATCGGTTTTTTCGGCAAATGCTTCTAGCTCAACAAATTAAGACTGGCCGCCAGAACTGGCAG